GCCCCCAAGAGTAGCTGCCTCCATTCGTCGAGCGATAACATGATTGCAAGCATTTCCTTGTCGTAGATCTCGTAATTTCGCTCGGTTTCCGTTAATGCATGCGAAATAAATGCAATTGGGCGCCAAATGCTGTCTTGGTTTTGGCTCAAAACAGATCCTGTTGCCCCTTCCGAAGCATCGGCTTCCAGACGATATTGGCCGGTGTCATTTGGCAGTGCTAAGACGGCATCCTCCGCGATTCTCTTCTTTAACCCATCAAACGCCGCATGTTCATCCGGACCCCATGACCATCCTGCCTTCCCTGTCAGCCGCGTCAACGGCTTGGCGACCTCCGCATACCCCTGAACGAAACGTCGATAGAAGTTTGTGAATCCGAGGAAGGCTTGGACTTGTTTGACGCTCTTTGGTTCCGGCCATTCCATCACGCCCTTGATCTTGACAGGGTCCATCCGCATCGAGTTGTGTCCAATGATTACACCCAGGTATTCGATTTCCGTGCGTTCGAACTCGCACTTTTCCGGCTTCAGGTATAATTTGTGCTTTTGGAGCAACTCGAGTACCCGTTTGGTGATTCGTCGATGTTCATCCAGATTTTCTGTGAAGATTAGTATGTCGTCCAGATAAACTACCACATGTCCCTCGTTGATCAGTTCCCGGAGTATGTCGTTCATCATGTTTTGGAACGTTGCCGGAGAATTCGTGAGACCAAAGAACATAACTAAGGGCTCGTACAGCCCTCGGTTCGTGCGGAATGCAGCCTTCCACTCATCGCCCTCTTTGATCCGTACATTGTTATATCCCCACCGGATGTCTAGCTTGGTGAAGAACTTGGCGCCGCACAGGTTGTGGACCAGCTCGGAAATTAGCGGTAGCGGGTACCGATTTCGGATCGTCATCTCATTCAGCTTCCGGTAATCTTGAACAGGCCGTAGCGAGCCATCCTTCTTCTTGACAAAGAAGAATGCCGATGCCATGGGTGATTTTGATGGCCTGATCCGTCCGCTGGCTAGGTTCTCTTGTAAGAACTCGTCGAGTTTGACCTGCTCGTTTCTCGATAAGGGGTACACCTTGCAGTCCACTGCTTTGGAGCCTGGTTTGAGCTCGATCGCATGATCCCATGCCCGTCGGTCCGGTAGCGAGTCAAATGATTCCTTGGCGAATACTTTGACAAATTCTTGGTATTGATCTGGAATCTTTCCCTCGGTCATTCTCTCCTTCTCCTTTTCCGCTTCTTCTGCAAATTTCTGCGCCGGCGTTTCCTTCAGCCGTAGGTCTACCTCCTTTCCAAAGTCGATCAACAAGATCGATTCTCCCTCCTCCAGATCCGGTGCACCCGCGTCCAGGTCAATTGCATCCATGTCGATCATCGCTTGGTGCTCCTCGTGACCCCTCATTTGACATTGCTCTGGGCATCGGCTGAATCTCATTGTCTGCTCCTGCCAATCCACCTCGGGGTTGTGTTCCGTCAGCCAATCCAGGCCGATGAAGATCCGGGCTTTTCCCAGACACGTCAGAAGGAACGTGCGTGTCTCCACATGAGGACCGATTCTCATTCTCAAGTCGACGTAGTGCGTGATCCGACCGCTGATGTTCTCGGTGTTGTCGGCGTTACGAGCCACAATGGGTTGCGGAAGCTCTTGGATATCCAGCTTTTCTGCCCGTGCGTAGTCGGTGTCGATGCAGCAGGTACTGCAGCCACTATCGAGCAGCGCCTTGACTCCACGCGTTTTCCCTGAGTCCAGGCCCGTGATCTGGACATATACGTCCATCGAATGCCTCTTTCTTTCGGCTTGGTAACTGCGCAATTCCTGCGCCAATCTGCTGGGCTGGGGGCCCTTCTGTTTCTCGGCCGCCAATTTCCTCTGGATGGCATCTGGCACCCTGGTGCGTTTGGGTGCTTCTGGAACCTCGATTTTGGCAGATTCCTTGGGCGCTTCCTCCTTTTCCAAGGATCGAGCCTTCGGAGCGATGCTCCCCTTTTCGGTCTTTGTTGACGTGGTTCCTTCTCCACGAGCCATGAATACGTAGGAGTCCAAAAATAATTTATCTGCAGCTTTCTGATCTTTTTTATCTTGTAAGTATTTTCTATTTAGAGCTATCTTTTCCTGGCGTTCTTTTTCCATCTCGGCAATAAGAAAATCGTGAATATTTGTACGTAGTGAGTCTGAGATTGTGTATGTAGATGAAATATTGTCTGTATCTTTAATCGAAACAAGTACAGAAAATTGTCCATAGTCCGGACGCTCCACCTCCTTGGCTAGAGGAGTGGAGCGCTTCAAAAACCCTTCTCGCGCAGCTTCTCGGCAATCTCCTTCAGGAACTCGTTGTCCTTGTCCCCGTTCTCGATTTCTTCCAGCATTGTGGCCCGATTGAAGAACGTGCGCTTCTTCTTGGGCTCCGGGCAGTTCCGCGCAATGTGCCCGGGCTGCTGACAGTTGTAGCAGATGATATTGCGGCCGCGGGCATGGGTACGATCGATTTCCATCGGAACCGGTTCGTTGGCAGCGGGTCGGGCCGGAGCGGGTGTGGGCGCCACTGGTGTCGTTTGGGGACGGAACTGGGGAGGTGGTCGTTGTGTGGGGTGCCCATACGACGCTTTGCGCAGCTGGTCACGCAGAGCATTGGCTTCGATGTTGATGCACCAGGCTTTGAACGCTCCATAGGCCTTGGGCAGAGGGACACCGGTGTTGTAGAGACGGCTGGCAATCTCGCTGCTGAGTCCGCGCTCCAGGAACTCGATGAGGATATTATCCTGGTCCCCCTTCTTGTATTCGCCTTTGTCGTCGGTGGTGTCAACCACATTGTAGCCTGCATCCGCGGCCAACATCTCAAAGTCGGAGATGTAGTCCGCGAAGGACCGTTTGTTTTGACGCAGGGCCATAAGCCAAGCAGCGGCGACTTGTTCCGCATTGGAGTCCCCGAACGCCCTCTGAAACTCCTCCAGGAAGTTCTTTGATGTGACTCCTGCCTTCAGTCCCTGGAAGCCATCGAAGTTGTGCTGCTTCCAGTTCATCGCCCATCTCGAGGCAGCGCAGCTCGTGCCGTTCTCGTTACGGAGGTAGGAGAGGACAAAGAGGATTTTGGTCTCATCTTGTGAGAACTCCGATCGATAGGCACCGATGTAAGTGGTGCACGCGTCCACAAAGCCCAGGTATTTGGACTTGTCGCCATCGAAGTAGGGGGGGTTGGCGGCGAGGGTGATGCGGTGATGCCCTGACATGATAGGGGCAGGCGTGTGAGGTGGAGGCGAGGGTGGTTGTTCGGAGGGCAGTTCGTCGAGGTCGGGGATCTCGTCTTCAGGCGGTGGGAGGGCGAGGTAGGGGTCGGAGGGCCCGGGTTGGTTTTGATGCGCCAGATCGGGCGACGATGGTACGATGGGGGGAGGGGATGGACTCCCAGACGACGATGGGAATCGGTACGAAATGGTGGAATCGTGTGCTGTACAAGCACTCGAGGGAGGGTTCTTTTGCTAGCAAAAAGATCCCAGGCCTAGCTCTTCACGTGCCCGATGATCCCGAGGTGCGTTTTCCCGAAGGTCTCCGCAGCACTCCTTGTAGCTACCGTAAGGCTTGGGTCGGGCTCAACGTTACCCGTGGCCTGGTGCTGTTTGCTTGATATGAACCCTTCACTGCGATAGTGGAGGACGACTAGATGATTCGGTAAAAGGGTGAGTGGGGTGATAAGGGTTAAGAGGATATAGCGGGCGTAGCGGTGCAAGATGCAGGGTAAGAGGTATGAGGTAGGAGGGTATGAGGGGAGTCTTCGAATTATGTGACAATCAACCCAGAAACAAGTCGAAAAGAGAAGTGAATTCGAAGACTGGAGAATACAACCAGGTAGCTACAGTATTTATACCCAAATCCAGTCTGAGTCATATCTACAACTAATGAGTCATAAGACTATGTACCGCATGGAACGCTGGTCATGGGTTGTACTAGAACCTTCCGGAGCATATGTCGCGCAGCCTCGAATCGATGAAGATAATCCCTGTAACCCCTAGTCCGGACCGTCTGATGCCGTGATCCGTGATAAGATAAGTCGTGCCAAGATAAGATAAGATCGTCGATGATAAGATGAAAAAGTGGCCGAACTATGACACCATACCAAGAAACCCCTGCCAAATTGAAGGATAATTATGTGACATTCTATGGCCATGGCCAGAATAGATACATCGAAATTTGATATAATGCACCCCTGCCCCTGCAGTAGACCTTGCAGTGGGCCCCGCATCTGACCCCTGCATCAATTTCAATGTCTTCCTATAAATTCCCAGTTGGCCTGTTGCCCTGCTCACCTCTACAAGATCTTCAATGAACAAAAATGGATCATAACAGACCAACCCTGGGGCAGCCCCCGCATCACCCCCCGCGGCACCCCCTGCGGCACCCCCCGCGGCACCCCCCGCGGCAGCCCCTGCGGCAGCCCCTGCGGCAGGCCCTGCCAAATGATGGGATCAAGTGTGTCACCAATCCCATTGTGCAGGGTGCATTTTGGTTTTTCTAAGCTCAAGTTCATGTTTAACTAGCCTATTTACCTATGGAAATTATACTGGGATGATTTGGGGAGTCTTCCATTTTTTTGGCGGAAAATCACGTGATTTTGCGCCCATTGTCTGCCACAGCATGCAATGTATCAAGCAGCATTTCCAAAATCATGCCAAATGCTGCAAAAAAGGCGCCCAAAAAGTCACGTGATAATGCGCCCACTGCCCGCCATGGTGTGCGGGGGGGTGGTAGTGACCCCGCCAATGACGCCGCCAACCCCTGCCAGCATTTTGGTAATATTTGGTGCAGCGCATCACGTGATTTTTTTATCCCGCCATCCCGCCCATGCAGCGCGTCATGTGATTGGATTTTTTTTTCCCGCCCAGCTACCCGCTCTTATGGACAAGTCACATGCTACATACACCCCCCCTCCTCCTGACCCCCGCATATGCCCCCGCTACTAAATCGACTAAATGGCCCCCCCACCCCCCGCCAGGGGGTACCTACTGGGTACCCTCAGCAAGACGTCTGAGGGTACCCAGTAGGTACCCCGCGGGGGGAGAACCGCGTGATGGCGGTGGTAACTGAGGTGGATCTGAGGTGTGCTGTCCAGCGGATGCTATCCGCTATCGCGAAGTGAATGTCTGCGTCCGATGCGGTGGTTTCACTCAGCTGGTCTGGTATGGCTTGATCTCGTGTGAAGGGTCGCCCGAATAGCAGCTCCCTCGGTGTGGCTTTGAGCGCAATCAGGATCCGATCGTTCATCATGCGCAATGCTTCGTCGAAGTGATCTGGCCAGTTCCTCGGAATGTCTCCTGGGTCCACCGCCCCTTCATCCGTGTCGTGATCGGGCGCACACAGCCGTTTCAAGATCTTGAGCAGGATCTTATTGCTCCCCTCGATGAGGCCGTTGACCCAAGGTGAGTATGCCGGTGTTGTAATGTGCTTGACATTGTTAGCGGTGCAATAGTCTGACACCGCGTCGTTCCGGAAATGCTTCCCTCCGTCTGCCATGAAAGCGTCAGGTACAGCATGCTCGTGGAAGATGCGACTTAGTGAATCAATGGTCGTTTTAGCGGTGCCTGCCGACTTGAGCTTTGTCCCCCATACGAAATGCGAGAACACGTCCACGTAAAGCCCGACGTTCTTGAAGCCGCCCTTGCCGTCCGGTAACGAGAGGTAGTCGCCTGCAATCAGGGCAAATGGAAGGGTACGGCGGATCGGTTGCAGCAGGGAGTTGCGGGTCGGGGCACCAAAGCTCTTGCACCGCGAGCATTCAAGCATTACCGACCTGCAATCTGTGTCCATGCCTGGCCAGAAGTAGCGGTCTGAGAGTTTAAGTTTCGTGCTCTCCACATTGAAGTGTCCGTTCTGCGCGTGGACCTCCATTGCCAGGTCGAAGCCCTGTGCTGTGGGAATGCATTCCGTCCGTGCTACCCGGTGCGCCGCCGTGTCCGCAACTCGCCAAAGCTTACCCTCCTCGATCATGAACCCCTCTGCCCGATGCGCGAGTCTTCTGCGCTCTGCGATTGAATCCCCAACCGTATACCCTAGCAGATGGTCGACTACTGGGGCAAAGAATAGATCGTCGGCAAACAGGGTCTGGAGAGGGTGACTTGCCGTGTGTATGTCCGCCACCGTAAACACATCTCTCGTGACCCCTCGTGGTGATTCCCAGTCTGCCAGGACCGACCAGGCCGACCCGTCCTGCTCCGTGCGGTCCCGGTTCGTCCACTTCCTGCTTAGCGCGTCTGCCACCGGGTTCTCGATGCCAGGTCGGTGTCGGATGTCGATGATGTTGCGTGCAAGGATGGACTCCTTCCAGCGGCTGTGATGGGAGTTCAGTTTCTCCCGCATCAGCGTATCGCGCAAGGCCTGGCAGTCCGTTTCGATCTCGATGGGGGAACCATATGTGTACATCTCGAACTCGTCTAGTGCGTACTTTAAGGCAGCAAATTCAAGTAAGAATGGTTCGTACTTAGCTTCGCTTGTTGATGTACGCTTGGAGCAGAACGCAATTGGGTGCCACTGTTTCGTCTCCTTGCCGTTCTTGTCTTTGTGGGGAAACTCTTGTGCTAAGTACCCGGCAAAGCCTTCCGCTGACCCGTCCGTTGTGATCTTGAATGGACGGCCGTCGTATTGCGGCGTTTTCAGAATAGGCTCCTGCGATAGTAAGCATTTGAGAGTTACGAACGCACGCTGCTGGGCGTCACCCCATTTGTGCTTAATTGATGCCGACTTGAGGGCTCGTTTGTACTCCCCCTTTCGCACACGCCAGTTCGAGCTCGGTGCCGCCACTTCTACATTTCGTGTGAGGTCCGTGAGAGGGGCTGCAATACGCGCAAAGGCCGGGATCATCCTCCTGAAGTAGCCCGCGATGCCGAGGAAGCCCATGAGGTCAGACACATTCTCGGGCACCGGCCAGTCGGCAACCGCGCCAACTTTGTCCAGGTTGGGCTTCAAGCCCGACGGCCCAACTACTGCGCCGGCAAATAAGACCTCGGTGAAGAAGAGCTTCGTCTTCGATGGTGAAAGTGACAGTTGCTTCTCGCGGCACCTGGTGAAGAAGCGCTTCAGGTTCGCCAATTTGACTTCGAATACATCACCTGGCAGGCAGATATCGTCCATCCAATTGACTAGTTCTCGCCCAATCATGTCCTCCAGTGCTGCGGCGACCATTTCGCAGAAGGTGGTCGGGGCTCCAGTGAGGCCGAACGGCATGCGTAGATATACGAAGTAACCTCTTCCTTCGACATAGAACGCCGTGTACAGGACCGTTTCGTTGTCTAGCGGGACTGCGTAGTATCCAGATGCGAGGTCGATCACACTTGCCCAGCGGTGTCCGGCTGCAAATTGATGTTTGGCGCCAATGTCCCCGTGTGGGAACGGTGGAACTTGGGACGCCTTGTTGAGGGCCGTGAACGCGTGGCAGACTCTCCACTTCGTTGTCTTGGTGCCCTTCCCAGTGTCCTCCGTTGCCTCCAGCGATGCTTCGTTCCGGCTCGTGTCCAGGTTTTGGGCCTCGACCTCTTCCCAAAAGGGCGGCAGCCCGTTCTTCACGCACTCCTCGTTCACGCGTCTAAGGACATCCGCTCTTGTGAGCCCGGTCTTCCCTGCGTCTTTGGGAGCCAAGTTGGTACTGTTCAGACATTTCAGGAACTCGCCTGGGACCCTTTGGATTACATGTGCTTCCTCCATCTCGTTGAGGACGTTGTAGAACCATGACTTCTGGTTCTCCGTGAGTGGGCGCTGTGACATACGAGTCGGCAATTTGATCTTTGGGTCGACGTCTATGTGATGTTTCCACCAGTCCACGAATAGGACTTCTGACATCGACAGAGCGAACACGTCCGCGTATTCCCTGATGAGTGTGACCACTTCTTCTCTCTGTTCCGTCGTCAAGTCCGTCCCAATCTGGACCGAGTCTAATATTTTGCTGACTCGTTCCTCGTTGAAGGGGTCCGTCGCGCGCATTGTTTTGTTTGTTCCCCGGTCAATCTTGAAGCCCTCCGCGCTCGTGGCCGTGCTCACTGTGAACATAGTGTCTGGTGTGCTCGCTGCTTGTTCCTTGCCTACATCCGCCGTTCTTTCTGCGCAGATGGATCTGAGCTCGTCCAGTCTCAATCGGAGGTGTCAAAGTCGCTGGTCTGATCGGCGAAGTTTGTTCTCGTCATCCTGTCCGTCTGGTGTCCGCCACAGCCCCGCTATGATCGCTTCTCTTCGCTTCATCCTCCATTTTGCCGCGTCTGCCTCTGTTTGTCTCTTCCTCACCTCCTTTGCTGTCTCCTTGGGTCCGCTGTCCCAGTCCCGCATCTGCTCGTCGCACCGTTGGTCGTCCGTGTCCCGTGTTCCGTCTTTTGGCTGCGTGGCTCCCCTGTCCCTCGCCGTCCCCTCAGCTTCCAAGTACTTTGCGTATCTTGTTTCGGCCCCCCGTCTGGACGACTGGATTTGTAGGACGCGTGTGAGTTCGCTGTTCACCATGTCGTCTTCCTTTGTTGCTGAGCTCCGTTCCTTTGTGCCACCGTCGCTCTGTTGCGTCTGCCCTGACGTTGTCCTGGTGGGTTGAGGGAGTGGCTTCTCCGGGGGTTGTTGGGTCGGTTGGGCGTCCTGCGGTATGTCCCTTGGTTCGTTCTGGAGTGTCGTTTCCCGTCCCGCTGCTGCGATGTGTATCTCATCGCTTCCATAGTTGTGGATGGCTCGCACGCTGTGTAACCATGGTTTCCCTAGGATCACGTCGAACGCCCCGCCGCTCTGGAACACCTCAAACCACGCTCCCGTTGTTACGCCGCTCACTGACACTTGGCCCCACCACCGTCCCTTTGGTGTGATCCGTTCACCGCTCGCTACCTTGAGGATCGTTTTCGATGGAGCCAGCTTGCCCAAGCACTGCCCGTACTGTGCCCACCGCTCTGCCGAGATACAGTTGCGCATGGCACCGTTGTCAATCTGCGCCGTTAAGCGGACTGTGTTGCCTTCATCACTGGCGAGCCGGATTCGCTGGTAGAATGGCTCGACGGCGGTGTCTGGGTCGGATCCCACACTCAATATAGCGCTCGGCAGGGGTGCCTTGTACTCGAGAATCCGTGTATTCGTTGGTCGGCCTAATACAAATGGTATTTCCAAGCTGGTGTCCCGTGTAAAAACTTCCCGGCGCCTCCGTGTTGAATGGTCTCTTTCCGGGGGATTTGAAGAGTTCGGAGCAACACCCCCCCCTACAAGGTGTGCTCCCCTTCGTTTCCCTGTTCCTCCGCTTCCTCTTGTTCGCCGAAATCAATGGGCTCATTTGCATCCAGTTCTCCGAATATGGCGTTGATTGGCACCGCCCCCATCTGTCGGGGAGGGAACACTATCGAGTGGACCCATCGCCGGATGTTCGACTCAATGGTTGGTAGCGGTAGCGGTGCGGCGCAGCTTCCAGCGCCATGGGGTGGGTCCCGCAGGCCGCAGCGGTAGCATTCCCGCGATCCAGGTGGGAGTGTCCCCGGCGTAAACGGGAACATGAGCACGTCCTTGTTGCCGGTCTGCCAGGCGGCGAAGTCCGTTTGGTACTTGCGGAGTCCTTGCGCGTCTTTCGCATACAGGTGGGTGGTCTGTGTCAACACTCTTGCCGTCTCCTCGTTCCCGAGCGATGGTATGGCTGGCTTCACGTTGGGGTTCGGGCCGCGGCCTGCTGTCGGACTGATTGGTGAGGCAAAGATGTCCCGGCTGAATGAGCTCATGGGCCGTATAGTCGTGCCTGTCCATTGGCCTGTCGTGCTCATATGTGGGGGTTGTTGTCGCACCGGCGTTGTTGGTGTGAACATCGGGCGTGCCTGCTGTGCCTGCTGTTGTGACTGTGTCGGCGTCGCCTGTGTCATGAACATGGGGGCCGGAATGCGCATGTTCGATAGCTGGAATGTTTGCCGCTGGCGTGGTCGGGTCGGGGAGAGAATATGGGTGACGTCCAGGGCATGCGCCAGGCTGGCTACTATGGATTCGGCTCCTTCTCGTTTTGAGCCTGCGGTTGTCGTTGGGCCTTCCTGTTGCTCTATCCGGTTCTCCGCCATCCAATCGTTAATGGCGTAGATCGAGATCGCCTCAAAAGCCGCAAACCAAGCGTCCCATGTCTTTTTCGTCGCCTCCTCCGAGATCAAGCGACAGAAGCCGGGGGGCAGAGTGGCCCGTATCTCACCCATCAGCAGCATCGATGGGTCGCCCCCTTGTAGGTCGTTGACAAGGCGTCTCGCGATCTGTGCCCACGCCCGATGCGCTGGGATGCGCGTCCCATCTTCGTCTTCCACCATCTCTCCTACTGCCTTTGCCTCCAACACGTTCTCTTTTAGGTCTTTCATTACCTCAGAGTTCTCCCGTGCGGTGTACAATGGTGGCGGCCACTTCTTTTCGAAGGCTGCCGTGATCCGCGGCCAGTCCGTTTTGTCTGTCGCTGGTAGCGCCTTGTACCAGACCTCCGCGGGGCTCCCTGGGTACAACGCCCGTTCGAACCTCCACCTCTTTTCGTCGTCCTTTGCATCGAATTTCCACATCTGTTCTATTTGTCTCAGCCAGACATTCGCTTTCTCGGCCGTTCCGTCGCCCTTGAAGAGTTCTGTTTTCGGGCCCATCCTGTGTTCGTCCTCGTCTTCTGGTGTTGGTGTTGTTTGTAAGCTGCGGGGTGTCGACTCTTGCGTCTGACTCTGAGACAGCCCAGTTGTCTGATCTTCGTTGGTGTTGCTGGGTTCTGATGACGCTGTTCTTCGTGCTAGGCGAAGTCGTCGAAGCTGTCGTTGGGCTTCTCGTGTGTTCTTTTCAAGTGCGTGCGTGGCCTGGATGCGCTCGTATTGGCGGAGTTGTCGGTCCGAGAGGTACGACGGTGTTTCAGGTGCCAGGGTGTGGAATTCGATCCCTCCAATCACCAAGTGGAGTCGTCTCCGGAATGTGCGTGTGAACTAGGACCCACGCCAGGTGCCAGCAGATGCCCGGGAGGTGGGAGAATCAGATGAATGAATGATGATGACTAAGGTGTGCTCTAAACTAGGGAACGCCGGCTCTAGACTCCCGGCACAGCCACAGCGTTGCGGGGAGAACGAACTGGAAGTGCAGCTCGACGAAAGTCCGAGTGTGACTTTTTTCACTTGCCAAAGGTTGTGTCAGGAGAAACGGACTCAAGATTATCGTGCTTGCTTACTCATGCAGTACGCTCATCAACATTCATGATGTCATGTAAACCTCGGGGGCCGACATCCGGTCTGGTTGAGAATAACCTCGCGAGGCACCTCCTCTAGTCGTGCTCAAAGACTCGGGGAAACTGAAGTCCTCTAATCTGGCCGGCCGAATCGTCCTTCTCTCCGCCTATATCCGCATGCGGCCGCTGATGACCATGTCCGCCCTCGCCGTTCCCATTGTTGTCTATCTCGAACGCAGGTCTTGCCGGATCGGAGTCTCCGCGGATATAAATCCGATGGCGAATCCAGCCAGTGTGCCTGCTTGTGCGAGCATTCAGCCCGTCAATGGCCTGCGGCTACAGGCTGACAGCGAGACTCGGATGGCGCCCAGCCTATGATGTGTGATGCCCTGCTGAGGGTTTTATCCAGCCGTGCGGTATAAATTCTGAGCGCGGTCCGTTTAGCAGATCTCACATCCGGCGTTGGATCCCATCTCCCTCCCTCCCCAGGCACCCCCGCCAGAACCAGCGTGAATATTGCTCAGAAGCATGGCCGCCCCGGGAACCACGACCTCGTCGCGATACGTCCTGCCTGCGGTCTCCGCTGAGAAAGAACGGTCAGCCCTGGGCGCCCGTTTTTCGTTCCGACGTGCTCAAGCCATCCAGTCTCGAACGTCAATATCACATGACCAAAACCATCTACGGCTGGAAGCGGCCTGTCCCCAACTGCGTCGATCTGTCCGGCATCACGAACGTAATCGATGTCGCGACGGGAACTGGGATCTGGTCGTTCGATATGGCTGCGCACTGCCACTCGACGTCGCGCAGGCCGGTGCGCGTCTATGCGTGCGATATCAATCCCGCTATCTTGCCGTCCCAGCAGGCGACGGAGCCGTGGGGCATCCAGGCATTTGTGCACAACGTCACCACGGCCTTTCCAGAGCATCTTCACGCCAAGTTTGATCTCGTGCATATGAGTTTCCTGGCGCTGTGTCTGACTGAATCCGAGTGGGAGAACGCACTCGACAACTGCCGATCGCTGTTAAGTACGTCTTCCCACAGCTTCGTTCTTATCCGTGCTTACCGGTCCGACTCGCACCAGAGCCCGACGGAATCCTGATACTGAAGGAGATCGACCCTATATGTCTCTCCGAGGATCAGTACGACGCGCGGACGCGCATGCACAACCCAGCACTCGACGATCTGCACCAGTACCTCCGCGGTCCAGACTGGAAGCAGCTCGCCAACCGCTTCTACACCGAATTCGCGCTCAAGAACGAGTTCGTCGTCGGGTGCGCGCGCGCGCGCGGTCCTTCCTGTTCCTTATCGCGTCCGGGCGACTGACCGCCGCCCTGTACAGATTATCCCATCGGCTGCCGAAGATGCTCGCCCGCGCGGGCTTCGCCCTCGCGAATTCGTACTACGCGCCGCTCGCCGTGGGGAGCGTGTGCCGCTCGCGTGTCGGTGCGACGGGGCTGCCGCTGGCGGAATACGACGCGCTCACGACGGCTAATCTGCTGTTCATCCTGCGGCACACCGCGCGGTCGATGCTCGAGCGCGGGATCTTCCCCGAGGACCTCGACCAGGGCCGTTTGGAGGATGTGTTCGACGAGGTCAGGGCGGGGTTGGACAGCGAGGGATGCCTGGTGCCTGCGTTTTGTTTGGTTGCTAGAAGAAGTGGAACGCAAGATGAATCAGTGTATATCTGCACACATAACGTGTAATGTAGGCTTTTCCGTGACTGCTCGCCATCCACAATCGACGATTCCAGCCAGCACAAAAAGAATATTCATCTACAATCGGGGTCAATATATATGTTGGACATCTTGGGTAAGGGTTTTGGCGAATCGCAGACGCTTTCCAGCCTTCCTAAAAAGTCCGGTGAACCGATATTGGTCTAGTATCACTTACCGAAAACATCTCCCGATATAGACGTATTCTTACATCCGAGTTCCAACGCACCGCGTCTTGCTCATCAATATCTCTGACTGAAGAAGTGAATCAGGGAACGGACAGAGCATTAAGCACATGATTCGATTGGCGTCTCGGGCCCAGACAGATCCTTCGACAGCCTGGTGATCTGATCAACCCAACCGTGAGATTCTTCGGTCGTGATAAGTACTTACATGATACAACAGACGGCAGCACGCGGATCAGATGAGCGGGGGGTTGAAGCCACGCGATCCACGCCAAATTCAGAGAACGCGGACACGTGACGGTCGGACGCCAACGCAATGGCACTGATGGCAGCTCGGGGAAACAAAAACGCGGGAAGATGATGTCATTCAGGAAGCGCGCACTCTCAATCATTGGGCAGTAATTGTACTGTAAGGACTACATATCCACCTCCGCTCGGTGATCCGTCCATTGACACCGACGGCGCCGTGTGATAGCAGCTATCGGATTGGCTTGGGGGGGATCCCGACTGCGCTGTTCCATTTGAATCTGGTGGCTGCTTTGAGGCTGTTAAGCTCGCAATCAAAAGAGAACTGCTCACCTCGATTCGGATCCGCAAAATGCCAACGCGCCTGGTCGCAGCGAGCAATCTGAAGGCGCGTCCTGCCAGCCAATACAGAGCTTCGGTCCGGTACGATAACAAGCTTCGAAGATACTCCTCCCGGAGCGTGGATATCTCCAGCTGAGTCCTAGAGGCCGATAAGTATCAGTCAAACTGGAAGATGTGTTGTTGGCAGCGGTCGGACGCACTTCTCCAATTCCTGCTTAAGCTCGCCGTCTCGATCCATCATCCGCCCGTTGTCGACGGCCCCGAGGTAGCAGCTCTCCATGCTCTGTGTCGCCTTCAACATCTCTTGGACTAGCTGTACCAGAGCCCGTCGCACAATCAATGGAAATACGAGGCAACTTGTGATGATGATCATGATGGTGATGATGGCTACGACCGTCGGCGTCGGGGTGAGGCCGGACACCAGCGCCTGCACGAGCGCAGCTGAAGTTTCGGCTGAACATTCTGCACCTGCGCCTGCGCCTGGAGGCTGCATCTTGGCAGTGGATGAGAGAAACATCTCGAAGATGATATGAGGTTTCACCTCAGTTACCACCGCCATCACCCGGTTGCACCCCCGCGGGGGTCCTCCTGGGTACCCTCAGACGTAGCTCTGAGGGTACCTAACAGGTACCCCCCTGCGGGGCCCGCGGGGGGGATTTGGTCCATTTGGGGGCGGGGGCATATGCGGGGGTCAGCAGGGGGGGGTCTGTACATGTCATGTGATTTATCATTGGGAGCGGGCAGGTGGGCGCGAAAAAAAAAAATGAATCACATGACACATCCAATGGGCGGGATGGCGGCTGATGGCGGGGTAAAAAAATCACGTGATGCACCGCATGAAAATTATCAAAAATGGCTAGCAGGGGTTGGCGGGGGTTGGCGGGGGCGCTACTGGCCCCCCGCACACCATGGCGGGCAGTGGGCGCATTATCACGTGACTTTTGGGGCACCTTTTGTGCACCATTCGGCATGATTTCGGAGGTGTTGCTTGATCCATTGCATGCTGTGGCAGACAATGGGCGCATAATCACGTGATTTTCCGCCCAAAAAAATGGAAGCCTTCCCCAAATCATCCTGGTATCATTTCTATCGGTAAATACACTAGTTAAGCATGAATTTGAGCTTAGAAAGCCCAAAATGCACCCTGCACAATGGGACTGGTGATGCACTTGATCCCATCATTTGGCGGGGTCTGCTGCGGGGGGTGCCACGGGGGGTGCTGCGGGGGGTGCTGCGGGGGGTGCCGCAGGGGGTGCCACAAGGGGTGCCGCAGGGGGTGCCGCAGGGCCCGCTGTGGGGTCAACCACAGGAGCAGGGGTAGGGGTGCATTGCATCATATTTTGATCTATCTATTCTCGCTGTGGTCATAGCATGCAGCATAATTATCCTTCATTTTGCCAGGAGTTTGGAGGCTGTGTCTGGGGTTGGTCTGCAGCTACAGCCATGTGACTCCCTGATGCTTCGGCAGGGGCTGGGATATCAAAACTGTGCAATATTGTCTGCATAATCCAGGCATGTAGGGTTAAAAAGAAAGTGTGATTTGTTCATTTTTTGGCTGGCAGGGTAGGTGGGCTGACATCATGGGCTGCATCGGGTCCACTGTCAACTCATTGATTGTTTCGTCTGCTCATTCTATACACATGCCCATTGGTAAGCTGATCATGCTGTAGGCACAGTCTAATCTTACCCAGTGGATAATACCATACGTTAATTATGCACCTAATGTCACACTTCCTGTCTGGGACTCATTGAAGTTCATCTGTTCTGTGTTACTTTACAAGCAGTTTGCTTTAGTTGCAACATGAACAGATGTAATAGAGTGGATTTGACATGCCCTGAATTGATTCCTAGGTGGAATATGAGACAATGGATTCACCAGCAAGTTGCCTCACAATAGTCAGAGATTGGTAATATTTGAATTTCAAATTTCATATACAACACTCTGTGCACTCAGAACTCGTATATTTGCAAGATAGACTGTAGAGACATAGATGGTTACTTTTACTACCTCTGGGGCTGCACACATCCTTGCCATGACCCACTGCCTGCACCCCTGCTGGTACCCCCATTGGCACCCCCGCCGGCACCCCTGTTGGCACCCCCGCCAGCACCCCCGCTGGCACCCCCGCCAGTCTAGCACCCCCCGCTGCACCGGTGCCTTGTCCCCGTGATTTTCTTATATGTAAGATTATGTAAACTGACAGCTCGGAACACGTCAAGTCACTAGCCAATCAGAACCTGTATAAACGTCGTACCTAAGTGTTTACTGCTCTTCTAACACTGTTCCTACAGTTATGCAGCTGAAAACCATCGGAATAAGGTCTCCTTCTGCTATTCTTGTTGAATATGTAGATACTTCATATCATTTGTCCACCTAAAATTCGAAACATGAAAAGAGTTCACCATTGCTCAAGGTTCCTATGTAGACAATGGTTCAACATGGTTCACTTTGGGTATGGCAAAAAATATTTTTTCTACACACAAGCAATTCAATACAGCTGAATGATATACTCTTTGGCAGTGTCTGAAACAAATTCTGAGAGCCCTGGACCCGGGAACTATTCAAAAACTTGAAATGAGTCCGAAAAATAGGGTCTTGATAAACATGAGATATGGGCTGGTTTGAAGAGACATGGGCCACCGGTCATGTTGAATATAGTATTTTACAATGTTTCGGTGCCCTACCTCTCATCACATGGCCTCATTTCCTACTAAAAAGGGTGCATACACACTCAAGCTCATAAAATCAATTGTCACCCAGAAACAAGAGCAGTGAAGTTGTTTCACTGGGATTGGGTAAAGGTTACCTAGAAGTCACTTGGGTTGCAGTACAGAAGCTTTGGAAAGTGATTTTGTAGTTGATCCACATTTGGTAGGCTGGCAGATGCTTGTGCACCCCCATGGCACCCCCCGTGGCACCCCCCGCGGCACCCCCTGTGGTTGACCCCCCCCCCCAACCCCTGCAAGGATTTAATTGACAAATGTCCTGCTCAATCCATTGTAAGAGTCTACAGTATTATTGGATTCAGTAAAGGGCCCAAATGGTGTGTAGACAAGAAGTATGAAATCCGGAAATCAACAATTATGACACCTCCACGGAATATGCTGCAAATGGAGAGAAAAATTTGAGTGCAGACAGACTACCTGAAGCAAACAGACAGAGAAAAGAAACATTAGCCATTTCTTGTTGATGATGTTGGCTGTCCCTGGAGCATGTACTTGGGAGATTTGCCTAACAAATCAAGTTGCACATTTTTCAAATTTTTAGTTTGACCTGACAGCTTGAGCAGACCATGCTAAAATGAACCAAGTCATATATATCAGTGCCCCAAGCCAAGCCAAAAGATTTAGGTAAATTTGCACAGTTTTGATATCCCAGCCCCTGCCGAAGCATCAGGGAGTCACATGGCTGTAGCTGCAGACCAACCCCAGACACAGCCTCCAAACTCCTGGCAAAATGAAGGATAATTATGCTGCATGCTATGACCACAGCGAGAATAGATAGATCAAAATATGATGCAATGCACCCCTACCCCTGCTCCTGTGGTTGACCCCACAGCGGGCCCTGCGGCACCCCCTGCGGCACCCCTTGTGGCACCCCCTGCGGCACCCCCGCAGCACCCCCCGCAGCACCCCCCGTGGCACCCCCCGCAGCAGACCCCGCCAAATGATGGGATCAAGTGCATCACCAGTCCCATTGTGCAGGGTGCATTTTGGGCTTTCTAAGCTCAAATTCATGCTTAACTAGTGTATTTACCGATAGAAATGATACCAGGATGATTTGGGGAAGGCTTCCATTTTTTTGGGCGGAAAATCACGTGATTATGCGCCCATTGTCTGCCACAGCATGCAATGGATCAAGCAACACCTCCGAAATCATGCCGAATGGTGCACAAAAGGTGCCCCAAAAGTCACGTGATAATGCGCCCACTGCCCGCCATGGTGTGCGGGGGGCCAGTAGCGCCCCCGCCAACCCCCGCCAACCCCTGCTAGCCATTTTTGATAATTTTCATGCGGTGCATCACGTGATTTTTTTACCCCGCCATCAGCCGCCATCCCGCCCATTGGATGTGTCATGTGATTCATTTTTTTTTTTCGCGCCCACCTGCCCGCTCCCAATGATAAATCACATGACATGTACAGACCCCCCCCTGCTGACCCCCGCATATGCCCCCGCCCCCAAATGGACCAAATCCCCCCCGCGGGCCCCGCAGGGGGGTACCTGTTAGGTACCCTCAGAGCTACGTCTGAGGGTACCCAGGAGGACCCCCGCGGGGGTGCAACCGGGTGATGGCGGTGGTAACTGAGGTGTGAGGTTTGTAGGGTGAATGGCAGGATGAAGATACTAGGCCCTGCATGCTCGCTGATGGATATATACGAGGAAGAATCCGCACATGATCAACACTACCACACAAACACTGTTTGGAACACGGTTTCAAACAGTGCACACGGAAGGCGTGGGCCTTCCAAATTAAAAGTCTCCTTCCCACCCTTGATGTCCTGCGAATGGAGGGACGGCACCCGGTTGTTTAGGTATTTTCACGACACGGTTAGGCTGTGCTCCTCTCCCACTCGCAATCTGAGATGCTGCAAAGACGGATTTGACTGGCGGAGCTGTTGCAGACATATGATTGAACCTTGTTACATCGCGCAACTGCACAGCCAAATGGGGATGACGGGAGGCGACGAGATATTGAGACGATTCCCATATCCATCTCACTACTGTGAACCTACTTGCATGTTGGCACAGGTCATGATGTCATGAATAGCAGTACAAAAAGTCACTCGTCTATTTGTGAAAGCTTGCCACCGGCGAATGTCGTGCTTCACAGCATTCCGAGGGGTGATAGCCCCTCTTGGGGTCTAGTCGAGTGGACCCTGCTAGCCCACGAGCGGGGCACGATGGGTGTAGACACCAAAGTAGCTATCGAGGTACGAGTAGGGTCTATTCCAGTCGACTCTGATCCGACATCACTTGGACACGTCTCGCCGCCATCTCTTCCCACGTCAACAGACGTCAACCCCACATGCTCGCATCAGTCAGTTATGTTCCGTGTGATTGATGGTTGATCTTAGCATGTTCGGACTTCTCGGGCCCCAAACACCGCCTGCTCATGCATTCGAGGATCATGTATGCTCCGGTGCAAGCAAATGGGATTCAAACAAACAGAAAGGTAGAGCACGTGATCCCGGTCACTAACCACGGCTGTTCCCTCCGCACTTTCCCTTGGTCCCGCGGCAGACTCAACACCGCCCACTTATGCGTGCTGCCGCGGAATTTTTTCTATCAGAGGCCAGCGATCCTGACCAGTTCCTCTACAGCATGATTGTTCCGACAGGCTACGCTTTCCGCGGGGTCGCGCGGCAGAATACAGCCCCCTTGTGCGTCTGTCACTGACAGGAGCATTGAGGTGTGTTGACCGCGTTGCCAAGTACATACGGCCTGTCATTGTAGTCTCCTTGAAGCAGACGGAATCCACAAGATCCTTCGTGCCTAAAATCCTTGTTCGTAACATG